TCTCAAAAGTGTCACTCCCTCCTACTCTATAATATGGTCACCAAATGAAATCCACCCTATCTTTATCTATTTGTGCAGTCTTTGCATCTAGTTCTATTATTTTAGAGCCCTAATATACTGCTTAAGGAGTAACAACAGTTTTAGAAGTTGAACTAACTGCTTTTTGTATATACTAATGATGATCTTGGAGGATTCACCGATACAAGTGCAGAACACACTTGCCTTAAAATAGCTTGAAAAATGCTTTTAGCCCGAGATGTAACATTTTGGAACTTTCTGAACTCCTGTCTAACACTCGTACTTCTGTTATGTGGAGCACTAAGCTCTGCAGCACTGATAATTGCGGACTGTTCCCTTGTTTTAATTGCCTTGTTTGACAGCATACAAGGCAGTAGGTAGCAACACTATGCCAGTCTTCCTTTCCTTTCCAAGCAGAGGAATAATTTGCTCTGTAAATCGGTAAGAAATGATACGTTTGATTTTGAGAATACCATATTTCACCGGAATCCAAGACAACTTTGAATTTAAGATGACCTCCCTTAATAATTAGATTCCACACGTGGAACATTTAAAATGTTGTTCTGTTTATTCTAAACAGGCCTGCTGACAAAAACTAACAAGCTGTAAGTTTAATGAGCATTATTTTAATCTATCTTAGGTTCTGTCCAGGAAATCCTGGCTAGTCCCACTCCTTTCTTAGACCTGCAACTTAAGACTAGTCTCCTTCACATGCATCTTCACTCCCACTCTCTTTGCTGTTCTTTTCACTGCTTCCCCCCCAACACACCTTATTCCAGTGCAAGGGAGATGGGGGCCTTCACTGTTTCCTGCCCAGCTCCCTGTGTCCCCCACCAACCTGGGATATCTAGCCACACCTTGTCCCCATCCCATCATGGTTTGAGAGGCAATGTGCTGCACCCCCTCCTTTGGTAAATCCTGGATCCACCCATGACTTCAGGTACTACATTTTCACCTGATAACTTGATTCTAAGGCAAAGCTTTGTTTTCCCCATGTTGGAAGTTAGGGGAAAACCTCATCTTGGAACTGAGTAAATACAGTTTTACTGTATCAGATAGCAATAATTTATGCCAGAGGTTCTCAGACTGTGGTCCACAGACCACCATTGGTCCATGAGCTCCATTCAGGTGGTCCACAGAAAGGTTGCAGAACAATCGAGAATATCTGTATTTGTAAGGTAAGACCACTGATACTCAAATCTGAGTCGTGTGCTTTGATTTGTAGAACAAAAAAAAGTTTATTAAGTGGTCTCCGGAGACCCTCAGCAATTTTCAAGTGGTCCGCAAAAAAAAAAAAAAAGTTTGAGAACCCCTGATCTGTGTTATAAATAGACTTCTTTTCCTGCTTGATAGGATACTTTTGTCAAAAGTAACAGGTAATTTCATACTGGTTTATAGAACAAATTATTCCTCTTGCTTGGAAAGGAAGGGTAGAATTCTATAGAGCAGTGCTCCGTTAGACACTCAGGTTCCTTTCCCATTCTATCTCATGATTGCTGGTTTATGTAAAGTGACTCTTGTGCTTGTGTGTGCTGGTCTGCAGCTATGGATACAGCAGACAGCCAAAGTGGTGAAGACCTGACCTGTACAAAAATGATTAATGATGATTTTTTTTGAGTCCATAACTTGAATTGCCTTCAAGGGGTCTGAGCACTTTTTGGAATGATGCCTCTGAAAGGTGTCATCCATAGATTTTGATGTATATCAATTTTGTTACCCCAAAACATGTAACAAAACTGCTTTCTTTTACTAGTGTGTCCATACACAACAGCAGAAAGACTTGGTACAGCTTATCCTGATCCTGGAGAGTGAAATGAACTATACTGGTATGACAGTGTGGACATTTGAGAATTTATCAGCATAATTGCATCAGAAAAAATCATACCTATTAGCAACATACTTATCCTGGCTTAAAACCTTTTTAGTGTAGACCAGGTTAAACTAGAGTTTCTGAAGTGTTATGTTTCCAAAAGCAGTTCAGCGTTAAAGGAAAGGAGGGCAGAAAAGGCGACATCCCCAATAGACTGATGCAATAAATCAGTTTTGAATTCTGCTAACTCTGGCCTGCTTTCTGCTAATAGGCAAGTAAGATCAATCACTTGATCAAAGTACCTTGTTTATGTGACAGCAGTTGAGAGAGGGAGCCAGAATAGCATGCCAACAATATAAGTCTCTTGTTTTGTACCCACCTTCATTAGTGGTGATAGGAGAGTGCACTCAAAGGCTTGTAATGTTGCAGTTTGAGCTTTGGCTGATGTGAAGGAGGGGGTGGTGCAATTGCTTACTGAAAATTTCACAAGCTCTGACTGCAGCCCATTGGAAAGTGATTTTCAAATCAGAGTGTTTGCAGATGAAATGATCAGCTGCTTTTTCTCTTTGTCTCTCCTCCATGGATAGCACCTCATAAATACTATATTGGTTTTCGGTACGTCCATCCTCTGACAGAAGAAGCAATTGAAGAGATGGAAAAAGATGGAGTTGAAAGGGCTATTGCTTTCACGCAGTACCCACAGTACAGCTGTTCTACCACAGGTGAGTGGGTATGCAGAAGGAGAAGGTAATAAGCAGATTGTAAATAACCACATGACTTGAGAGACCAATCACAAGAGTCTTGTAAAAGCACTCAGCTGTGGATAAGGACTCAGCCTTTCTTTCTCTTAGAACAAGCCTTTTGGTTGGATTGTTTTAGGTCTTAACATTTAGTATTCCCAGCAGAACATGGAAAACCCGGAAGATGTTATTAAGTACAAAAAGTTTCCTGAGGATTTCTAGTAGGAGGGAAATCTCAGCTCATCATTAGGCCTCCATATCTCACAGCCCTCTCTTGAGAGATTAAGCAGTTTTACAGATCGGTAGACGGAAGTACAGCTCGCCAATGTCATGTCAAGCAAATGGCACAGGCAGAAGTGGAACCCAAAGGTTCTGACTAAGTCTCCAGCTCTAACAACCAGAGGTCATAACTCAGGCATTTTTTGGAGGGCGTGGAGGGACGGCTACTTGCAAGGGACATTTGTCAATGGAGGACTGCCATTAGTAGGATCCATGCTAGTTTGGTGCAAGCCTTTAATGTTGGGAAACTGGACTTTGTGTGGGAACAGGTACAGAGTAACAAAACACTGCAGCATGGATGTGGGACTTGCTGTTTTTTTTTTTTTGTTTTTTGTTGCTTGTGGAATAGGCATGAATTAGTTTAATAAAGAGTTAACTGTATGCTTGATGTGGCTGTATGTTAGGTACCTCTGCCCTAGACCCATTGCAAATACAAACACAAGGCAGATATTCTCAGCCACTACCTGCCCCTATCACAGGTGAGAGTACTATGAACACTTGTGTACATTTTCATTTATACCAAAGGTTCATGCCTCCTTAAAAAACATTTCTCTGGGTATTTTGAGTTTTCATAGCACGAATGACTGATCTCTTAATAACTGTCTGAATATGCAGTCATTTAGCATGTTGAAATGGTTTGCCATCAAAGTATTTTTGTCTGTAGTGTTTTATATTCTTTCATATTTTGGCTGAACATACAGCTGAAAAGTTCCTGCTAATGTCTGAAATCTTTGTGTTTCAGGAAGCAGCTTGAATGCCATTTATCAGTACTATAATAAAAAGGGGGAGAAGCCAAAGATGAAATGGAGCGTTATTGACAGGTGGCCTACACATCCCCTTCTCATTCAGGTATGCATTTGCATGCAAATTATTGCTTGCCATCGGTTAAATCCTTTGCTTGTTAACTGGAAAGATTGAACATGGATCCATTCAGAGACAGCTGTGGCATCATCCCTTGTCATTTTGGTTCATTTTAAGATTGCTGCCAGAATTCAAGGATTTTGTTCGCACAGTCTGGCTGGACAACAGTGTCAAACGATTGTTGTATAACATTTACACATTTACATGCGTGTGTGTGTCTGTGTAAATTTTAAACAACTGGATGCTTGACTTGAATTGGGTGAATACAGGAACATAGAATTTCAAGCAATTTCTTTGCTTTGCCAGCTTGAATAAATATGTGTTCCAATAAAGAAAATACGTATGCCAAGTTGTTTTTTCTTTCTGGATATATATTGTTCCTTTAAGGCATGATACATTTCCAATAAGAAGTGCAGAAGTGAAATATGAAAAAAATGTTTTTCATCAAGTCTCAGTTTCTAACAAAATGCAAGCTTCTTAGCTTTAGAATATGCTGAATGTATATGTTAGATGGACACTGCCTTATGTCCAGATTTAGATTTGTTTAAACTTTTAAAAAATATTTTAGAAGAAAAGGAATATTTCATTTTGATTGTGGTTCACAATACTGAAGTTTCTGATATGCCATGTCTAAATAACAGGAGGCAGGCAGTGTAGCTGGAATTCGTGGATATTGGCCTTTCCTATTGACTTCCACGATAGCAACATTAGGACAGTTTTGAGAACGTTGGAGAATTTGACTGTGGAAGGAGACATTTTTAGCTTTAAAAAAGTGGAATGCCTCTGAGAGGTGGGTACCTGGCCGCAAAAGCAGTTGCAACAGAACTGCTTAATGTTAGAGGCATTCTGTATTGTCTTTTTTGGAGAATGCCCCCTTTTCAGGTGAGAGACATTGGAGGAGTTTGAGGAAGTGGAGCAGGAGCTTTTCTTCCTCTTTCACCTTTGAGCTTGTTTTCATGTTTGTTTTTTGGTTTGTTTAGTTTTAGTTTGGGGTTGTTTTCTTTTCTTGCTCTCGTCCAGGGTATGATTGAGGGAAACAGAGGGAAAACAGTCTGCAAAGCCAAGGACTCCTCATGATAGTTGTCTGTATGTCAGACTGGGAGGTCTCACCCTTTGGAGGTGTCCTTTCATCCACTGAAGTACCTAGTGGAGTTCATGAATGGTGCTCTCCATTAGAACGACTGTATGTGTTTGTGTACATTTTTTGTAAGCCAACCAATTTGTGTTTCTCCAATCCAATGGGAGACTCAGTGAAGTGCTGGATCAGCTTCTGACTGTACCCTTAGAACAGGAATTAAAGGTGGGGTTTTTTTTTTAAAGTTTTCACCTTTTTTTACTGTAATGCATGTCAAAGGGATCAGTGTCCAGCATGGCAAGCTGATTTTGCTACCGTATCACTGTGCACAAGCCATTGAGACGGCTTCTCTTCCATTCTTTGTAGTTCCTTACTATCCAGCCATGTCTGTGTAACACCAGGCCTTTTCAGTCATTGGTATGAATCTGAGGCCAGAACTTGTTACTTTTATCTTTCATGGGAGAACAAGAACTTTTTTTCAGGCCTTACTTAACTGAAATCATTTGTCATCCCATGACATCTTCTCTCACTTTGAGACTGGATAAACAGCTCGGGAAGCTGAGCATTTTGAAGGATGGGTGCTCGTCTCTGGAATGTGCTCTCCATATTGGTTCGTCCAATTCCCAGTTTGTCACCCACTAGGGTACACTTTCTCTTTATTCAACACTCTCTCTGTCAGCAGCTTGGCTGATGGTCTTTGGGGAAAGATCTATCAGTTTGCTGTATTATATTCGATTTGTCTACATAACTGAAATACTAGGGAGCTGATGCAGAGTTCATCCAGAGCCTTTGCACTGACTTGGGTTTTGGATTAGGTGCTATTGTTCATTATTCAGTGAGTATTTTACTTTAAACACTATTGCTCAAACCCCTACTTATGCTATCTACTAAAAAGAGAATATTTTGCTGTATCATTAGAAGTTTATATGATGGCCTAGAGCAAAGAAGCTGGGCCCCAGGCAATTTATGTATGTTCCCTTCAACAGACTGGTGTCTTTCAGCAGACTGTTGTATATCTTCAGTCTTTCTTTTTTCTTAACAGTGCTTTGCAGACCACGTACAGAAAGAACTGGATCTGTTTCCACCAGAGAAAAGGAAAGAAGTTGTGATTCTTTTCTCGGCTCACTCGCTTCCAATGTCTGTAAGTAACATGGAGTTGCAGCTAATGATGTTAATCTTCAGCATCACCCTATGGGTCTGATGGACTATATCGCCAACACAGCTGAGATATTAGAGTAGTGTGGCACTTGTAAATGAGCCTTGTACTGCTACACACACTTACCTGCCATGACACAGAAGCCACTCATATGTTCAGTGCTTTGAAATGGTGATATCTGGGGGTGGGTGGGGAGAAAGGAAAGTGTATTTTCTCATCTTTCAGAAAAAATTACTCTTCTTTAGAGCAGTGGTTTTAAACTTTTAGACCGGGGCGGGCAATTATTTCAGCTGCTTGGGCGGGCTGGGGGCGCTGGAGGGCTGCTTACTGAGTTTTGGCAAGCTGTCAAGGGCCACATGGGTAGCCCTGCCCCTTGACAGGTCCCTGCACCCTGGTCGCCATCTTGTGACCAGAAGCCCCACCCCCCAACCCCTGTCCTTTGCCACCAGGAGTCCTTCCCCTTGCTCACTTCCTCAGCCTGACAAAGGGTATTTGTACCCAAAAGCTTGCTAAGAAGAATTTTTCCAACTATTTGAGTTGGTCTAATAAAAGATGTCAGATTTACCCAAAGACCCTTGTCTGACTTCATATTGTATGCATCAACCACATGGCAGTGAAGGAACTAAAGTCTTGTCTAACAAAACTAAATAGTGTTGGGACTTTGTTGTCAATTCAAGTAAGGGGAAGCTGTCACAAGCAGGGGGTGGGGTTTAAACTGCATTCACTATTCTAAAGCCATCCTGGTGGGTGTCAGAGCTAAAGTGTAATACGGTGTAATCTGTGGGTATTTCTTCTGCTGTTTCCTAGCCCTAGAAATCAAGTTTGTAGGAGTATGCTGCCATCTAGTGATTAACAGCAAAAGACAATTTGGGACATGGGAGAAATTATTTATATTAGAGGTAGTGCCTAGAGGCCCAAGAGAGATCTGGCATCCTTTGTGCTATGCACTGAATAAACTTTTAGTGAGAAACAGTTCCTTCCTGAAGGAGCTTGCAGCATAAACAGCTGAGACAGACGAAGGAAAGCACTGATACAGAGCGGTGAAATGATTTCTTTAAGGTCACACTTGTTCAGTGGCTGGGCCTGGGATAGAACCCAGGAGTCCTGACTCCCAGCCCTGATTCTCCTACATATTCTTTGCAGAATGACCAAGGGAAACAAAAGCAAGAGGATTCTACTTGATTTTTACCTAGACCATTAAGGATTGGCAACCCTCATCCTGTTGGCTATCCATGAGGTCACTGGGCACTGATGGGAATGAGAGAGAAATCCTGGTGATAGTGGCAAGCCATGCATATTCTCTATGCCTTTATTTTATAGATGATAGAACTTAATTATCAATCTCAAAGCATATTTTTATACATAATTTATACAGATTTTTATACATAATATACCATGAGATCCTCTGGGAAGTAACTATGTATGTGCACTGTGTGAAATGTGCAAATACCAATTAGGTACTTAACTAACTGAAAGAGAACACCTTGTGACTTCGGCAGCTTGAAAAATATGTATCAGATCACTAGGGGAGAAGTATTCTGTACAGTAGCCAATTAAACCTATTCTCTTTCACTAATTTTGAAATTGTACTGGATAATTCAGAGTTGTGTTCTTTGAGGTGTATGCAACATTTTCTATGTACTGCACCTCTAGGATTAGATGGCCTTTGTCTTCTGAACACATTTTGTTTCTTTGAACTAAGATTTTCAAACCAATTTTCAGAGGTACCTTGTGCATTAGAAAGAAGGTACTTTCACTCAAAGAACGCAGGGTTGATATTTCTGTGTTTACAGGTTGTGAACCGCGGTGATCCATACCCTCAAGAGGTGGGAGCTTCTGTCCAAAGAGTCATGGAGAAGCTGAACTATTCCAACCCTTACAGGCTTGTTTGGCAGTCCAGAGTAAGTTATCAGATTACAGTGCCACCTGGCCCTTAGTCATCAATATTCAGAAGGGTCTTTTCCCCAAAACTTTGCAAGTCTCATCCTGTTTCTCTTCCTTTCAAGAACCATCTCTGTTACTATAGTTTGTCACTTTTGGGGCCTTTGTCTTTTGTAACTATTCGAGAGTCACTTAAAGCTCGTGTTGTTCACAAGTATTAATGCATTATCTCCATAGATTTTTATCATAAATCCAGATACTTCAGCACATAGTAGTAGTAATAATAATAATATCATCAGGTGGTGGATATTTTTCTTATCAGGAGGTAGAAACAATTATGTGATGCTTGCTCAAATTTCTGTCCAAGGTAGCTTATATAATAATATGCACTGTTAGTGCTAGGGGCTAATCCATGCAAGCTTCATTTTTTGAGTAGGTAGTGCAAAGCAGGTTGTTATTTTCCTGAATACGTGACTGCTGCAAACTCTGTCTGATATCAAGGAACTTTAATCCTCATCAGAATTATGTAGCGGCATTTAACTTACGTTTTTTCAAATCAGTTACCTTTTAGGGAGGCACAGGTTTGTTTTAAAGCCAGGAAGCAGCAAGTCAGTTTATTATGGTGACTCAGTATCAGATATTGCTTGGATTTAAAGGGATGCTACAACTTACTCTGAGAATTGGTCAAATCCTTCAAAGGCAGGTTACTTCTGTGCAAAGCTGCAGCCTTTTAGTAGAACTGAAAACAAAATAGACTTGTTTTATAACCAAACCCCTCTTCCCCCAGAGAAATGGCCCCAATTAAAATAAAAACAATAAAATCCAGCCTAACTTGCATGTGTGGCTTACTTTGGGTAAATACAGCCTCCTTGTCAGAATGGAGGGTTAGAGCTAGAATAGAGGGACTTGCAATCTTCATAAAAATGTAGGAGTTGGATTGGGGGAAATATTGTTATAAAAAACAAGGAATGGATTAATTTGATTGTTTAATTAAAATAATGCCCTTGCAGTCTAGTTTAAGGTAAGAACATCTTTGTGTAGAAATGAGTTTGATCAATTTCTGAGGGTTTTTTTTTCCCCCTCCCTTTTTTTATAGGTAGGACCAATGCCGTGGCTTGGTCCACCAACAGATGAAGCTATTAAAGGACTCTCTGAAAGGGGAAAAAAGAATATTTTGTTGGTTCCAATAGCATTTACTAGTGACCACATTGAAACACTCTATGAACTGGATATTGAATATGCACGAGGTGTAGCTAATGAGGTAAGCTCATGACAGTGCTGATAACTTCTTGGGCAGATTTGCTCCCAAATTCATTTTGTTCGCTCTAGCTCTGTTTTTACACTTCAGTGGTTTTGGCCCAATTCTCTTTTGGTGTGAATCAAGACTTAATCTGAACTGGTTTAAAAAAAAAAAGGTAACATATTTCAGTAAAGTAATACTGAGTATATAATTCGACAGTTTTGTATTTTAACTTTTCAAGGTAAATGGTTAATATCTTCATCTGTAAACTAGGATTCAAAATGTAGAAAAAAGTTATTGAGTCTTAATAGATTCATTTTAGGGGCAGCTTCTAAGTTATATATAAGTGATATCTCTGAGAACTGTAGAATTTTTTTCCTATCTAATGTTACTTTCTTTTTCTTCCTTGGTTTCGATACAGTGTGGAGTTGAGAACATCAGAAGAGCTGAGTCCCTTAATGGAAATCCATTGTTTTCCAAGGTATTCAGATTGTTCTGATTGTTATTACAGAGTGATCCTCTGGAAAGCTTCAGAAGATTATGGGTTTCCTACCATGCTGTTAACTTTGAAAATAGACATGGAATTCTTACACCTTATAGTCTGCAGAGGATAACTACTTTTCTTTGTCACTTTTAACTAATCTTAATTTTTGCTTTGATAAAATTGCATTTGAATAATGCTTAAAAACCATTTTCACAGTATAGCTTTTTGTCTGGCTAATAAGTTAGTTTGGTAATACATTGTGGGTTTATGGGCAGGGAGGAGGGAGTTCTTTTTCTTTTTTTCCTTTTGCAACCAGCTCATTCTTTTTTTTGCTTTTTAATATTCTCTCTTCTTTTTAGGCACTCGCAGACTTGGTCTATTCACATATCCAGTCGAATGAAATATGCTCCAAGCAATTAACCCTCCGTTGTCCACTTTGCGTAAATCCTGTCTGCGGGGAGACAAAAGTCTTCTTCACTAATCAACAGCTATGATATACAGTCCCCACCCCACAGACTGTTTGGACCATGGCTCATGTAATAATAATTTTGGATTATGCAGGAACATCACCAAACAGTGCAGCACTGCAGACAACAGAAATAATGCATACAGACCAAACTGTTCTTTCTGCTACACTGCTCCAGCCCATTGGTTTCAATAGTGTTGAACTCCTGTAACAGAGGAGAGTTTGAACTGGAATATTTTTTTAATATGAGAGGTATGGATGAAAGGGGAGGAGAAAAGGGCTTGATCCTGTGAGATGCTGAGACCTTAGCTTCTTTCAGCCTTATAAGAGTTGGTGGGGCTCAGCATTTCATAGCATGAGCCCAAAAGTAAAGCACTGAAACTAGCAAACCTTCGATACAAATTGGCATCTGAGTCTCTTTGCAGGGACTTCTTTATGCACTTACGAATACATTGACTTCAGCCTTCTAGTTGGTATAATTTTTTTTTGCTTCCAATGCATTATTGTTAACACCATTGCCAGTCATCTGTTCTTAGACGGACATTTTCAGATGGGTTTTGACGATCAAGTGACTTCTGATTCTTTTTAAAATACCACATACCTTTTAACAACATAAATGATGTGTATGGTTTTCCCAGAAGAAGAGGATCTGCTGAAGCCCAGACTCGCTTGGGGGCAAAATTGTTTACATTTTTTTGAAACTTTCTCATTATCTGCAGGAAACTGCATAAGGAAAGCAAAAAATGAAAAAAAACCTCACAACTGGGCTATTTTTTTGGAGCATTTGCAGCTTAATAGAGTTATGTAACCCCCATTTCCTCCAACAGCTGGCGCTCTGGCTGGTTGTAAGGATTTTCTGGGTTTGAAGATGAACAGATGCATGGGGGGAGATGATTTAAAAAAAAATTTTTTTTTTTTTGGCTGGGGGGCTGTTTTTTTTCCCAAAAGGGCTTTTTATCTGTTGTGTCAAGCAAATTCAGAAAGTTGAGGCGACTCCTTGTCGGAGGGTTTATAGATCTGCTGTGTGCTTTCCGCCATGTCGCAACATTGTGGTTTTTGTGGGAATCTCTCTGGAGCTGCATAGGTGCAATTGATTCAGTTTAATTCATGTCATCAATTTAAAACCCAAATGATGTATTAGGAGAAATTTACATTGTGGTGGTTGACTGGGAAGGGGGAGCTGCCTGTCCTTCATACTCGCAGCAGCCAGAAATGAAATAGGGCTCATAAATTCCCTAGCCAGAAATGAAATAGGGCATGGTGTGTATCCCCTGGGCCATTGTTGGGTCTCATAACCACTTCTGGCTAAATCTGTAGCTATTAGCAGTGGGCATTTGGGCACACCAGAAATGTGGAATCAAGTCCTAGGTTTATTCTATAGAACCTCTGGAAATTTAAAGTAATGGCCTTTTAACTCTGGCACCAGGTCTGGAGACAAACTGTCTCTGAATGGAAAGGAACTTAATGTCTCAGCTGCTGACCAGCACAGCATTTCTCATTTGGGGCTTGAAATGGGTTCAGAGCAGAGTTCTTGCAGAGCTTGGATTAGTATCTCCTTTGTTGTGAAAGCCTTTCATTCCAGGGCAGGATGAAGTGCATTTGGTAGGGGAGAGGCATTGGTCTGAGGGGTCAGCTTCCAAATGTTTACACTGAGTAATTAGCATTGAGATGCTGCAGGCCTCTTGCAATTTGTTCTAACCCAGGCAGATGTTCCTTAAATTGATGAATCATCTCAGGTTAAACCCTGTAGATGCCAAGGGAACTGAAACCACTCCTTTATGTAAGTTTTAATTTTCAGCTGTTAGGCTCCACCTCACTCTGTACTATCCGGCCAGTGGTTTTGTACAGCAGAACCCAGATGCTTTGTAGGTCAGATTCTTTACCCCCCTGAACTGATATGGGTATCTTGGCTGCATGAGATTGGTGAGATGAACTAGCTGTTTCCTATAATTTAGGGTTTCTCTAGGCACTGCTGCTCTTATCACAGATTACTGCTACACTCAGATGAGGGGGGAAGCAGCCAGTAGCTGAGTAGTTCACCTTAATTCAGCAAGCTAATGTGAACAGGGTGCAAATCAGCCAGACATGAATGATCCTAGGTTCTACTGCATATTCTCTAGAGAGCATGACGGACTTCAGGTGATACTTTTGCTTTCTTCTGTATGTTGGCCTTCTGGCCTTTTTATTACTTAACACAGTCTGTGCACTGCATAGACAAAGCTTTGTCTCTCCAGGAGCTCTGATTGCCTTTATATTCCTTCATTCCCAGTTAAAGAGTTGTTTTTTATTTTCTGTGCAGGAGTGAGAGCGTTCATTGAACTCCTAATGCCTCCTGAGCTTCATGGGTCTTTAGTGTTATATATTTTTGTCCTCCTTTTCATCCCTTTCCTTACACCTACTGATCATGCTGATGAGAGAATATAGACCTTCAAGAGCCAATTACTGCTTTCTGGTGGAATTGATGGAAGTGACCCAGGAGGGTCATTCAGCAATATTCTGCCCTAAGGTGGGGAAGTCTTTGGCCACATTTGGTGAATCAGAACAAGGAGTGCACAGTAGGAGTAGATTTGTCTCCATTGCCACTTCTCACTTTGACTGCGACTGATTAATAGAACACAGTGTATGCATAACATTTTCCTACCAATTCCCCTTTCTTCTAAAGGTCTTGAAGAATGCATTGGCTTTTGGGTATTGTTTGTGACCTGCACAACTGGATATTCACCCCAAGTTGGAAACTGAAGACTAATAGGAACATCATAATGCAGTAAAAATGATTGGCTTTTTATTTTCATATTGGAGAAGGGTGAGGAATTAGCTAGCACTAATTATGAGGCATTAATGCATTATTCCCAGTAATAGGCTGTATTTAAAGTTTGACTTTTATGCAGGCTAACCACAAGTGAGCTAATTAACAAACCTGTTTAGGGTATTGTTGCTATTAGCACATTGTGTAGTAATCACTAATCACTTAATTTTCCAGCTTTTAGCTGATGAATCCTGACTCAGTGATTTGGTAGGCCTTTTTCTCCCCCTCTTTTTAGTTAACAGAGAATATAGTGTCACTCTGTCTCTCCTGTTTAACACATTATTTTGTCTGAGATAATTCAGCAGAGCTTTACAACTCTAATTAAAAAAAATCATTGTGGTTACCTAGCATCATTATGACCTTTTTTGTAGATGGTGCAATATTTTCTGGCATTAAAAATATAAATGTGAGAGCAGAAAAACTGATGATGTGAATTCTGCTCTAGCCAAAATATGATCAGAGTGCACGTTTTAGTAGAAAATATGAGTATGGTTGCAATGAGTTTTCTAGGAACCTCATATTTGTGCCTTGTCCTCATCTTACTGCTCTAGTGTTCTGTATCCTTTGTGGCTTGCTATTAGGAGACTTGTCTTCTATTTTGGTAAACTTTTCTGCATTTGGTTTGCAGCTGAGGCAAGTTATTAGTTTGTGGTGCTGCTCACTTGGAGCCAGTTGTTGTCTGAACATTCTGCTCTGGTTGAAGAGAAATCAGAGTTTAAAAGTGTTCAACAGTGTCCACGGACTTGAGCCTGGGAAATCTAGTTTGATTTTTAGTTACAGGGTGCACTCCTTTATAGTTCATTTGTGAAATACTTTATAGCACTTTATAAAGTGTTGTAATTTTATTTTTGCCTTGGAAGAAATGCAGAGCTGGCTGTGGGTGTAAATTTTAAAAATGGAATATTGAGATTTTGGTACCTCATCTCTTTCATTAATAAGAGCTGAGCAGCTATATCTAAGCACATGGCTCCAAAAACTGAAAGAAAAACAGCCCTTGAGTCCTGAGGAAAGAATTGGGGACATAACCTTGTGAAACAAAGTGTTTTGTAAGAATGTGCTTGGGGTGAGGTTGTTGTTTTAAGCCTCGTGTCACTTTGCTCCCTTGGGTGGGCTCCCCTGTGCTTGCTCATGCACACATTTTCTCTCAACTTATGTCTAAGGGCTCATATACGTGCAGGGAGGAGCATGCAGTAATTACAGCGCGTTGGAGCAGACTCGATTAATTGAGTCTGCTGAAGTGTGCTAATTGCCGCGCTCTAGCAGGCTCCAATGTCACGTATATCAGTATCACGGTGCTGAAAAATGGCAGTGGGACACTAAAGCTTGAACAGGCTTTAGTTTGAAGTACCCTGCTACCATTTTTCAGTGTGGGAATGCTGAAGTGTGCAATGCTTGGGGCACTATTAATTAGCGCAGCTCTTGGAGTGGCACTGATTAAAGCGCCCCCTACCCCCCCCAGGTCCTGGAGCACATGTATAAACTCCCTTAATTTCCAGCTGTATTTTAGAAAAAGGATATGGCTTCCAAAGTGGTGCTGTAATGCCACAGTGAAGTGTGTGTGTTTGGAGGCGGGGGGTTCTTTAGTACCTAAAAAGGTGGAATCTAGGACTGTGCAAAGCTTTGGTCCCTGATTCGATTTGATGGAGATTCAGCCTGATTTGGTGGCTGAATCTCCGAATCCAGTTCAAATCGGACGACCCTTTAATCTCTCCAAGTCAAATCGGAACCCTCCAAATCGATTTGGAGAGATTCAGAAAGATTGGGCGATTCGGATATAGACACAACTTTAAATGTTTTTTCTACATACCTTGAGGTACCAGGCAGCTTGTGAATGCTGTGATGCTGGGGCGCATAGTGCCCCACAGAAGTGTAAGGGGCTCCCCAGTGTGCTCAGCAGCAGACCCAGAAGTGGACCACATCTGGGTCCGCCAGAGAGCGAGCAGAGGCCCCCCCCCGCTCCCCACCTGTGCCTCCTGGGTTTGGGCAGGCACCTTGGGTTCCCCTGCAGCTGATCGCCAAGCCAGGGCAGGCAGCACGCTTCCTGGTGGACCCAGAAGTGGACCAGAAGTACTTCTAGTCTGCTTCCGGCTCTACTGCTGAGCATGCTGGGGAGCCTTGAGGCATGTAGAAAAAACGTTTAAAGCTGTGTCTATGGCTGAATCACTGATTCTCTGAATTGGCATCGAATCTTCAGATTCAGAACTGGCCAAATCAAAGACAGTGATCCAAATCAATTAATCAAATAACTGTCCCCAATTTGGGCCGAATCCGAATTGAATAGGGCCCTTTTCACACACCCCTAGTGGAAGTTTGGCCTGCTTCTAAAGGTGAAGTTTTTGCCATTTGAGTTCATTGCAGCCAGGATTTCCCCCAATATATCCAAAAGGTTATTTTTCTTCCCTCTTTACCACGCCCAGAGTATTGGAACTTTACATGAAGTGCAAATCATGAAAGGGGTCATAATATCTTTTCTTTTATTATTTTTTAAATATTTTTAACATATGGATTTAAAGCAAATACTAGTATAAGACATGAGTTTTTTAGACTGAACAAGAAATTCTGTTTAGTATAACATTAATTATTTCTATAATCTGATGTACCAGGTGCCATTAAGATGGATGTTTGAAATTAAATTGTTTTTTGGAATAAATAATTGTGATATGTGTCTGAGTCTCTGAAGGAAGATGCTGTTCTTCAGTATCCTCTTTGTTCTCTTCTATATTTTTGGTGGTAACATGAAAGAATAATAAGAGTTATTTTGGACCCACTGTTCTAGCTACAGTACTACTGGTTTTCACTAAAAGGAAATAATGTTGCCTTTATTCCTGTAGGCTGAGCTCTCGTCCATTGGCACAAGAATATAAAGGTTTGCATTCATGCAAACATGTTAGATTTCACTCTCTCACCCTTCATCCATCAAACATGCAAGTACCTCCACGTGATAAATCAGTAACCCCAGACTTGTTCATTCTCTTAGGGAGAAGTTTCTTTTTGGTAATATAGACAGTGCCAGGTCTGACTTGCACAGAGGTGTGAGCCCTCATAACTCTCTCTACTGGATGCTTATCAGCTCTGGCAATCGGGTCTTGGGATCTTCACTCATCACGTGACATGGGGATTAAAAATTGTACAAGGCGTCTAGATCAGAAACCACCTTCTGCCCACAGAAAATCACTTGCAGTACTTTCATTTGGGACTCTGTGTGTGAAGTAAAGACCAGTATATGTCCAGTGTATCAATGTATATGGTTCTGTTCTCTTGTCAATAAGTGTGTTTTCCTCTTTTTATATATGAATTTGTTCCTCTGCTCTATATTTGACATGACCTCCTGAGTACCCAGTACAAAGTCAGGTCACACAGCAGTGTACAAAAGCAGAAATAGAACTTATGACAGTAGCTTGCATTACACCCTCTAGTCGCGCCCCAGTTCTGAAGCAGTTCCTGGATCACGGAGGACTTCCAGCTCTGAGGGGGTGTGAGATTTAGCATCAACCCAAGGACGCCACTTGTAAAAATAAGCTCGGAGACTGGCGAGACAGATTTGACATAGTTTCAAATCCCACCTACAATTGTTAATTTATTTAGTTATCTATTAACAGTCTCCAGGCAGCGTACTTTTTTATGTTTAAAATTAAGTGCTTGATTGATTATTTTCTAGAACAGTGATGGAATGTTGTTCTATACTTAAGCCAATCCATTAGTGAGCTCTCATTACTGTTCTCTGTGTGGTTGCGGGGGTGAGATTGGATTGGGTGGAAGGAGAGAACGCTCGTTTTGTTTCTCCGCAGTAGTTCAGTTTCAAGGGCATTTCCGGGGGGACTTTTCACCTTTTAAAAGACATGGGCTACTTTGGAAGATGTTCTTCAGAATTCAGGATTGTAATTTACATCATCATTTTTAATAAATGGAAGCCCCATTACTTGAGACCCATAAAAACCAGACAGAACAAAGCACTGCAGAACATACTGTAGAAAACAGTATGGCACTAGCTGAGCAATGAGAGCATGTCTGATTTATATAGGCAGAAATCTGGAGTTTTACAGAATAAGCTTTGTATGGGAGGTCTGCAGGGTTAGGGGAGGCAGAATTCCTACACACTCCGCATCTCCATAGCCCCTTATTCAGCAACACATTTAAGCACATGTTTAATTTCAAACATGAGCAAACTGCTCCTCTGCAGGAAGTTAAATGCATTCTGAAGTGCTTTGCCAATGGGGACCGTGTTGCACTTTGGTGTGTTATCTGACTAATCTCCGCATTGGTGTCCCATTACCAGCAGATGCTGTTAAACTGATTGTGACTGTACAGTAACCTCTTAGAAATTCCATTTTCATGTTCCTGTTAACATCTTTTTCAAATTTGAAAAACATTTGACTGGTGATGCATGGCAATTTTAAGAAGCAAATAAGCCCAGTTTGTTTGCAATGCCTTCTCACTGATGATGGCAGTACTGTTTCTGAAACAGTAGTACAGAGTTTCTATGTTTATCTCTCTATTGCCTGCACACAAAAGCTTGCAAAGTTGAATTAAAGCTCTTCTTATGCCTCCAGTCATCTGGGGTAATAAGGAGTCTGTTTGACCCTCAGTGTAATTTAGGGTATTATTAGCAAGGGGTGTGGGAAACGGTCTGTATTCAATTAGGATTTGGATTCGGCCTGAGTCGGGGACAGTGATTAGATTAATTGATTCAGATCACAGTCCCAGATCCAATTCAGCCGAATCCGAATCTGAAGATTCGATGCCAATTCAGAGATTCAGTGGTTCAGCCGTAAACAGCTTTAAATGGGTTTTTTTTCTATGTACCTCAAGGTACCTGACAT